GGAAGGATGAGTGTTACCATGGTAACTATAGGAACAGTGGTCTTAGGTTCTTAGGATTCTAGCTTTCATAATCTCTAAGAAGACAGGAAATGTAATAAATGTAATTCCATTCCCACCGTTAACCAATGCAAAGAGTAAATTATTATAAGATAATTTCCATGAACCATTAACGAATCTGGAATCAGAAATCAGTCATTTCTTTTCCTTACTATTTTTACTTATTGGACAACTATAAAAAGTCACAATTAAATAGCTCACTGGCAAGTTCTGCTACAGGAAACTTTTAGGCTATAGCAAATAGACCTACAACATAATGAAATCCTTCAAGAATTTAATTCAAAGTTGGGAGTTGCTAGAGACAGAATCTTAGCTGCACACATGACAAGCATACATTTATTGCTGACCTACATCTTTAGGCCTAATCCTTCTTTTAAAAAGATTGAAACAAGAAAGACATTGTGTTTAATGGTTACACTGACTGAATCAAGCACAAAATATTGGGTTCACTGTGTGGTTTAATTGTGTAGACTTGAGTCAATGGTTTGACCTTTGCAAGCCTGGAAGCTTCCATTTATCTGTTCTCTAAATATACTTACAATAAAAAATGCCATTAGAAGTATTTTGTGAAGACGAATGTCAGCTAAGAACTATGAGACTCCTGGGTAAGAGATGAAACAGCATTCCAAATACCATGGCTACAAGCTAATGAAAATTTAATGCCACTTAAAAACCACACAGCTATCCGGGGTAGATTCATTGATGACACATTGGTCTCAATTTTTTACATTATGTTTTAAACTTAAAAAAATATGATCTAAAAAAGCCTTTGAAAACTATAGTGGCTAAGATCATCTATGCTCTTCTTGCTTTGGCAAGGATCCTTATGACCCAGAACTCTGAGAAATCCTAGCTTTCACAGCAAAAATAATTTGCTTTTAATCATGCAAACAGTTGACACTCTTTTCTGGTGATAAAGGAAAAGGATTTCGGCTGAGACATACATATGCTGGGACTTTCATGTACCACTTATCTGTTACTAGATTTCTTTTCATGGCATTTGCACTAATTGCTACTCAAATTATTCTGGCAAAGAGTTTACTGTGCTTGAGCCAAGTAAGGTAAATGTGAAAGAAAAGAAAAATAAGGGGTTTAAAATAACACCTATTATAAGTATAGATTTTTAAAGAGCTGATGTCCAAATATTCTAACAAAACTGTAGAAACTTCCATAAATTCTGCTAAATGCTTCTTCAGTTTAATGATGATACTTTAAGTAGCCATACTTCTCCAGGGAGCACTTCTCCAGGAACAGGGTGTAACTGAGTCCATGGGTTGCGTTTGCCTGTGTGCAGGTCAATCATAGCACACAAGTAAAATGTTCACTATAGTTTTGACCAACAGTATCTATACATGAGAATTACAAAACTTATTTTTGTGTTCAATACAACTAGCAGCATCTGTTCATATTTTTGATAGGGTTTTGTATGGCATCTGACCGGTTTTGGCTCCTGGAAACCAGTGCAAAGTATGAGAAACCAGCTCTCAGAGTGGGCAACAAAAGATGCTAGAAGTCTGTTGAATGGGCAATGTGACATGGATGACAATCTGGGACCTGTGTCATTAGGGGACATGGAGATAAACGCACACAGTCCTTTCTTCTGTGGATAAATCTACCCCTCGAGGAAAGAATTCTTCCAAGAACACAGGCTGTCACCTCCAGGACTGGAGATGCTAGCTAGTGGTGACTGCACTTCTGAAGCCATATGCGATGTGTCCTTTTTCCTGTTCCCCAAGTCCTACCATTCTCTCTACTCATTCTTTCCTGGATGGGAGGTGGGCTGGGGAGGCCACGGGACTCAGAGGCAGATTCCAGCTTCCTTTGTGACTCTGTATATTGATTTTCATCCTATGTTGACTTTAAGGGGTTCTTCTCTTTGTTTGAGTCGAAGTGCTGAGGCTCTTAAAACACGTGAGTATAACTAGAGATACTGAGCATCTATTAATATCACTGACTTCAGTTACCTTGTCTAGCTAGCACTCTATGGCCTCTGTCTTTTATACCAGAGTTATAAGAATGTTGATAGTGTGCCCAGACAAAGACATGGAGCATTCTCTCTCAGGCGAGGAGGTACCATTCTTCTCGCTGCACTACCCTGGCCCCCGCTTTTCATAGAAGACCACTTAGTATTCCTTTACAGTTGATGCCAGAAGGAGCCGGGTTAGATTTTAATACCATGTCACTGTTACGTAAGTCTACTTACTCAGTACAATATAAAGAATTGGAAGACCATAACATAGATACACGTTACTCAGTCTTCACGAGTGATTGCATAGGTGGGCATTACAAATCTTGCTTTATGGGCCACACCACTTACACTGAAGAGTCACTGGCTGGACACTGAGTGCATTGATCCTCCCTTCCATACCACGCTGCAGCCTTCAGTGGGCACTGACCTCTATCCATGTGAATATACTGAAAATATCATCAGCATTATTGAAAATAAGTGACAGGTACACAGCAGATTAAGTAAATAAACATTCAGGTTGCTGATCAAAGTGGCCAATATTTAAAATAAAATAAATGTGAAACTAAGTCATCATCAAGTTTCCTGTCTAAAACCAATCATCAATTTTGTCGACCTGAATGGCTTGAAAATATTGTGGTGGGAAATAAAATGTTTTCTTAAAACAGTATTCTTTTGTCCAGCATAACAGAAAACCATTTTTTTTTTCTGTCTAGCTGTTACTTTCCAAATTTTTGAAGGCTTGGAAATCACACCCTCCCTTAACTGTAGTCAAAAAATGACTTTTGAGGCATCAAAAATGCTTCTTTGGAAAAAGTGGAATTATAACGTGGAAGAAAACATTTTTGTAAGACAGTTACAGGACACTAAAGTTCTTTCAAGAAATTATGATGTCATTGTAAACTTTCTCCTTAGAAAAAGACGTTCTGGAAGTTAAAGACACTCCAACTGTGGAATTATTGCCAACTTTGCTCTTATTGCTGCAGAGACTGGTTGTCTTGGTGAAGAAGAATCCCTCTATACTTATCTTCCTAAAGATGATCGAGCTGCCATGACAATTTTAAGTACTAGTGAGGATTAAAGGATGTTCTATCCAGTGTTTTAGTTCCAGGTCTGTGAAGTAGGAAAAATAACTCTCACTGTCTGTGCTCATACCTTTCAGAAGGCAGATGCTGGCTTCCCACTGTTTTAGAAAAAACACATTTAAAACGCTGCAAGGATATATTGCGATACATAAAGCTGTGACTATTCACTGCTGTTTCCTTGATACGTAATTTAAACTCGGTGACTAGGACAAGAAAATGTCACATTCTTTCTCTTTCTAAGGAAATTGTGCATTTCCTTGTAAAAAATAAAAAAAAAAAATGAAGTCTTCAAAAGACAGTTTTCAAGTTGCTTTCTCTCAGGTTAAAGGTTTCTATAAATTTTCATGATGGTACTCAAAGTTGGACAAAGGAAAAAAACAAAAACAAAGAAGACAAAGACAAATAAACATTAAGTGTGCATGCAAGTTTGGTCTTTACCAATGTCAAAAACATCTCAAGTTATGCGACTTTTAAATCTCCCTTATAGTGAGTACTTTTCAAAGTTTTGATCATGTGTCCCCCCCCCCCCCATGATCTACAATGTTGTAAAAAGAAAGTCAGTCTTCTATCTTTACCAGGATTGAGGAGAGAGAAATGTACATTTTACGGAAGTATAAATGGGTTCCTGGCATGGGCTGTGGATGAGTACCCAGCATTTGGCTTATGTAATAAAGGTACTAGGAGCCTTGATCTGGAATATTGATTTTCCTTGGAATTTGAGTAATTCTGAACTGCCTCTTTGAAATACAGATCAATCAAACCGTTAGCATTCTACTAAAATAAAATATAGGAAAAGTTTAATAGTAATGGCAGACACTGTTATAAAGGCTTATTAATACATTTAATCCCTACATGGACCTTTGAGGCAGGAATTGTGATCATTTCCCTCATATGGAGGTAGAAAAGGAGGTGAGAAAATTCAAAGATTTAGGCAGAATCTACACAGCATCTAAGTGCTGGGCTCATATTCTCAGCTACTTTGTAGGTTTAAGAGGTTTTAAGATAAGAGAAGGGAAGGTAGACAAGAGGAAAAGCCTATGCTCAAGTCCGTTCTTTGAGTGAGAGCTGGGATTCTTCTGTGGTTTCAGAACTTGGTCCAGGGTACAGGGCTTTAAAATATTCTGGAAGATGAGTCATGAGATTTTGAAGGGAGACAGGAAAGTCCCGAGCTCAGCTTCCTGGACCCTGGTGAACTAGGCCAGCTCTGGGTTTTGTTAGCTCCCACAGTGGCTTTGTTCATCTCTGTAGAGGTTCCAGATTGGAGAGCTGGTAAGCATGTTAAGTGCACAGACACCAGGCTTACCTGTGGGATAACATTAGATGCTTTCTCCAAATGACAAATACGTTATGGAAATAAAGACATGCAAAGAGATGTGTGTATGTAGAGCAGTGTGTGTTTACGTATACACTTCTCTTTATTTCTGATCCCCTTCATTAACAGTACACTAGAAGTTAATAGTAACAGTGTATAGGAAGTCCACTTTGTTCTCAAGTTTGCTTAACAGTGAACAGAGCTTGTTCTTGTTCAGAAGATTTCAGTGGGTTCCCATTATGTAAATAACTTTTGTTAATCAAAGAAATAGCACGTATTAATTTACCCATGACCAGAATGAACTAGTATGTCTTGTTTGAATGTTAAGTACGGCATCTCCTCTCTCCCTTGCATCATCTACAGTAACTTAACAAAATGGAACACATCCAGAATACTTAGAGTGGAAAAGCTTTAGCTTGGGATTACTGCTCCTTTAAAGTCAACTCATTTGAACATTTGTTCCATGGCTTTCTTGTATTTGCAAACGTACAAGTTTACTAATAACACCACTCCCTAGAATGACTTTGTTACTCTAACAGTTTTCAAATTACCCAATACATGCTACAATCAGCAAACTCACCTTTTGCCCATTCGTGCCTGGGGTCCCAGGTGCTCCAATGGAACCCTAAGGAAGCACATGATTAAATTAAGTTGATATCATGATCAGTGTTCCAGTTCTAAATCTGTGCAGTGTTTATTAGGGCAACCACAATGTTACATGGTTAAAACATACTACAACTCCCCTACACAAGGTTCTAAGGCTCTGTTTTCTAGATTTTATCCACTGTATTCTAATATTTAGTAATCCAGACAGATCTTCATACTTTCCCAGGAAGTAGAGATAAAGTTTAATATTCTTTCTGAATACTCACTTAACTCTAACATGATATAGAGAATCTCATATAAATTGAAAGCCGTACCTTTCAGAAGGCCACGGGGCTCTAAATTTTGTTTTAAAGACATAGATAATTTAGTCCCACCAGGAAAAAGCCGAGCAGTAGCAGCGACTCTTGAACTTACCAAATTTATAGAAGACAAAACAGAAGGTAATTTAAAAAGCAACTGCTTACTCTATGACAGGAGGGCTCTATGCTGGAATGCAAATTTGGATCACTTTCCCTCTGGACTTTCAGGGACTATGGTTACGTCACCCAGTATTGACATGCCTTCTGAAGTGGACTCAAGAAAGCATTGCAAATGTTGTGCACTGACCCAAAACAACACAACTTCTACATTTTGAGGTTGAAGGTCCCTGTGCATGGAAACATGAGCAGATATACCCACTGGCTGAGAAGGAACAGCTGGTTGTAGATGGCTCAAGTGATGGCAGGAAAGCCAGTCACTATTTGAGACAGCCCATGACATTTAAGTGACTACAGGGAGTATTAGTAAATATTTTCAAAAGGCAATGTCATTTCCCCCACCCCCTTAGGCTCTGGAGAGGGTGTTTTTGTGGGTTTTTTTTGTTTGTTTGTTTTTTGCTTATTCTTAGTGTAGAACAAGAAAACAGGTTTTTTTTTTAAGTTGTCTATTAAATTTCTTTTATAATAATGGAAGAAGAATTTTCATTAAGTAGTCATGATAATCATGAAACTGCTCTAAAAATAGCCCACTAGAGAAAAAGTATATGCCAAACAAATTGAGCTGGCGAGTTTCTTAATGCAGCCCATGATCCTATGGGTTGGGAATTAAAGATCTTGAAGCCTGGAACCGGCATTTTATCCTGGTTGCACGTGGATCAGGCTAGCTTTACAATTTCACACTGAGCTTAATAGAGACATTATTGTGAGGGACAAACTGTTCCCGCACGCAAGATGTCTCACAGTGCAGGGCCTTGACTTGGTTTGAAGGATTATGTTTCAACAGATGTCACATGCCAGGCACTTGGGGATAAAAAGTCTTTATCTTTGATGAAGACCAAAGATAAAGAGCAATCACTTTCCCACCTGTTACAACACAATTGTTTTCTGCAAGTGAGACATCCTCTCTCTCCCTCTTCAGGGTGGGAGGTTAGCAGTGAATGGGACCTAGCGGTGTTCACTGGCAAAGAGCCATCTTCTCTGCTATTGCTCTATTTACTGTTGTTCCATTGGTGTGACCTCAGAACCCTAGGTCCTCCCCATTAGACTGTACTTTGGTGATTGTGGCTAAGACTGAAATCATAATCAGGAAGGCACTTTTCAGTTTACCCAGCCAAGGGGACACCGAGAGAGCCAAGCAGCGCAATGAAGGAAGCAAGACGCATATCCTCTATTAGGGTCAGTTCTGTGGCCATTTGGCAGTTATATAGTTGACCAAGGCCAGCAATCAATTTGCAGTGTCACATGATCCTTCTTGTTTTAAATGCTGTCAGAATGTGTTACCAATATTTGAATTAAATATTCCATAACCTACAAGTGCAGCAGACAGCTCAAAAAGTCTTCTCTGGACTTACTGAGTGTTCTACAATGAAGTAGAGTGGAAATCTGAGGCACATTCTAATGTGTAAATATAAAATATTCTAGAAAGCAGAATGAACAAAGGATACTAACTCCTTCAGTACCATTTATGCTCAACAGTTCCACCCACTTCTCTTGCTCTCATTAGACAACTTTCTTGACACTGCTACACACACCTACCTTTTGTCCTGGAGGGCCCAGAGGTCCCTAAAAGAGGAAAAACAATTCAATTAACACAATACTACTGCCATTTAAGCTTAGATGATGAACCAACCAACCATCAAAACTAAGTTATCCTATTCTATAAAGTTCCCTTTGCTGTAATAAAAAATGCTGATATATATATTTGAATTTTTTTGAAAGCCATTAGCCACATACAGGAGGGATCTGATTTTTTTTTTACAAAGAAAATGCTTGGGGTCTCAGTGCATTTGTTTCTGGATATTCCTGCCAATCTATCAAATCAGTCTCATTTGGAGGAGGGGGGTATCGTTGCTAGAAGCAGTTAGAATGCAACACCTTCTCTAGAAAATGGACACATTACATGGTGCTTTTATCAGTATAGCCCTGGTAGGCAGCCTTGGAAGCTACACAGAGAAGCATGTTGTATTTTATTCCTAGGAAATGTTGTCACGTGACCCACACAAAATCTTGTTTACAAACTAGGGGTGGCCAAGGCTAAAGGCAGCACCTGGTGTGCCCCCGAGAAGGGAGCAGGGCTGTCGGCGGCTGCTCAGACTGTTATCCGAGAGGCAGGCAGAATACAGAATTTAGGGAGATGAAGGGGAATATTTACTTAGAAAATGCAAATGTGACAGTTATGAAATGAAGCAGTTCTCATCCACAAAGTCAGTGTAAGGATCTGTTGGCTTAATTTAGATTAAGACATGGCTTTCTGACAGTGGAAAAGTACACACGGAGCTACAACCTCATTTCTGACTCCTTAGGTCTACTTTTACAGAAAGGTATTAGGTATTCTTTTTAGTTCCTTGAGAAACGTATTTGATCTGGGTGTGTTTTAGTGAATTTATAGATGCTGCTATTTACACAAAAGATCTTTAGTACATCACACTACCCTAATGGCTTATTTTCATTGTGGGACGTTCCCATTAATCAACATCTGACATTCATACTCTGTAACATGGCATGAAACATGAGCATGATTAGTAGGGGAGAATGGGTCATGAATTTTAAGAATTAAATAGACACAGTGTTTAGAAAGATCCAGAGACGCTGTTCCCCACCTCTCTTTTGAAGAGCCCCCACAGGAAGACTCGTTTCCTCTATAATCAGCCTTGGGTTACTGAATGTGTGTCTCATCATACCAACTCTCATTCCTCCTTGACTTAACTCTGTTGAACAACCAGACTCACCAACTGTGTTTTTAATAGGCTCCCTATCCACATATCTGTGGGCATTCCCCCGACCCATCCTGCTCCCCATTTGAAATTCTCCATTTTAGATTTTGCAGAGAAAATAGACCATCAGGTGTAAATCCCATCCAGATCACATCTCTCATCAACCCAAGCCCACATGGACCTCAGAGGAAGAAGAGCCCTTCCTCCTTGCAAGGCCAATTCATCAGGTAGACTCTGGAATCCATCGTTGCCTCTGCCCGGGGGGACCTTTTCCAATCAATTACCCCTGCATCTGTATCGGCCTGCTCTTCTCCACCAGTTCTTTTCCTTTAGCACATAAACATGGTTAATCATTTCCTCACTGTGTAAATTGTTTGGGGAATGAACGTCAATGCTAAGTAAGGGTAGAAGTTGCAAGCTGTGATAGGCGATCCGAGAAGGAAGAAAAGCCTTGGGTTTATCATTGCCCAGGACTCTATCTTCTCAAGTGTCTCTGGAGTGTTTCCCTTCCTGACCTGCTGAGGTTGGAAAGGAAACTCTATGATGAGGACTGCGTTTATTCAGTGCTTAGACGGAGGATGTATATGTTCCATTCACAAAGGTTGCATTCCCACTGTAAATCTGACTCTGCCACTTGAAAAAACATCATTCACTAAAATCGGGTATTCCATTTCAGGGGAATATTTCAAAGGAAAGTAAGAGAATTTTACATCCAGTATTGTAAATGGAGACGAACATACATGGCATTTTCTAATTTAGTCTTTGGTACATGGTCATATTAAATCAGAGACTTAAAAAGACTAATCATATAAAATTAGACTAGTATATTTTAATGCAATATTTAAGAAAAATCAAATAACCAAAGAAATTGAATATATTTTCCCTTCAGTTTTAGGAAACTAGTGTTATTTTTGTAAACTCATAAAAGTAGTTTTTTAAAAAAGATTTACCATTAATTTTGAATTATGACTACATGTCTTATAGATTATTTGCAAATCTGCTGCCAAGATATATTCTCAGTTACAAATACATGTACATATAATTCTTGAATCTCACTGCAGGAAAAATGGTTGTGAGCCAAGGAGAGTGTTGTCCATTACCAGAAGGGAATCAGGAGTAATACACGGTGCAGATATACTTTTGAGTAAATATACAAGCACTTGGGCACACACACACACATACATACATACACACACAATTTACTGCACTAAACAAGATTTTCCTTACGTATGTTTCAAATATGTTTAAATTGATGACACTGTTATATATCTGTGACAATGTAGTAATTAAATATAAACATACAACTTAAGGTTTCCTGTTCAAAAATCAATTTTGAAATTAAGGCATGTTGTTACCAGCTTGTTAAGACATGTGCATCTTATTAACCTCGTTTCTGGCACAAATGTGAATTTATAAAGTAATAGGCAATACTATAGAGTCATTCAATAGCTCATATAATCTTTTGAAGAACTACTGTTTGTGGTGTAGGTGTGTGTCTGTAATGTGTGTATATGAATGTCGATACATTCTATGGTGCCTGTGTGGATGTGAGAAGAAAACTCATGGAGTCTTTTCCCTCCTCCCACATGGTTCTGGGATTGAACTAAGGTGGTTAGGTCTGTGTACCAAGTGCTTTTATCTGCTGAGCCAGCTTGTCTAATCTTAAACTTATATCTTCAGCCTGAATAATGTCTTGGATGAAGGCTATCATAAATGCATTATTCACAAAGAAACCTAATGCTTCTTTTTATTACCAATTTTAGGATTCCAGTAGTTCAAGACTTCTAAAGTAGCTCTATTTAGTATTATATCAATAATTCAGTAAGTTTGGATAAAACAGTTTTCAGAATAGTTATATTCTGTTTGGTCCATTTTTCTCAGTACAGCATTTCTTTGTAGACATTTTTCTTGGCAGATGCATTTATACTTTGAATATTTTTTTTGTACACAGTCAAAACGGAAATTTGACTTTTCAAAATAATTCCTGTATGTTTTAAAAGTAGAAACTATGCTATATGTAGATTACCAACATATTAAGGTATATTTCTTTACATTTAACTTAAGTTTCAAATATAATTTGAATCTTGAAATATCCTCATGTTAATACAGATTCTGAGTGATATAAAATATATGGTTTTCATTGAAGAATTTTATTAGTAGAAATAGCTGTATTTAAAGGAGTAAAAGCCATTGAAAAATTCTGTGTGAAGTAGTACTATTATCATTAATGTACACATAGCTCTCATTATTGTCATGATCTGCCAGAAAATATCACAGGGAGCTATGCAAAACAAAGGCTTAGGTAGAAGATTATTAGCAAGAGTTGTACAGTTGTACAATCTACTTAATTGTCCTTTCTTGTTCTCCAGCTCTGCTAACTTCCACTCGAAGGATTCTATACAATATTCTGTATGCAGGGAGCAAATAAGTCAAAAATACGACAGTTCCCAAGGGAGTGGTTGTCTTTGACCAAAAGTGTGTTGGTTCAGGCCTGAGAGCCCCTTGACTCCTCTTGCCTGAGTCCACCAGGCTTGTCCGTGTGTCTTTCTGGTCCCTCCCCTTGTGCTGCACAGCTGTGCCCACTCCAAAGTCCTTTGCCCCCTCCCTAGTTCATGTGACATCTATCTAATGGCCTTTTATCTCCCCATGTCCCTCTGCACACTGCAGCCTGAGGACACTTCCTGAAATGCTGTTGGAGCATCTGTTGACAACTTTTGTAGCTATTGAGAAGAGGTCAGACTTGGATAGGAGTTGTAGTTTACCACATAAGCATCTCAACAGCTCTGGATGCCTGGTACAGCGGGGGTTTTTAGCCGACCTCCATACGCCAACTCCATAAATTCAAGTCAGGGTCCCTGCCTTTGGGGATTGGTCTGCTTCACTGTTCCCCAAAGAACCATGATAATAGAACTTTTTCATAGAATTATCAACATTATTGTAATGCTATGTGTTATTGTAAAAGTCGTTCTTTTTTTCACTTTTTTTTTTTTTCCAAGACAGGGTTTCTCTGTGTAGTTTTGGTGCCTGTCCTGGATCTTGCTCTGTAGACCAGGCTGGCCTTGAACTCACAGAGATCCACCTGGCTCTGCCTCTTGAGTGCTGGGATTAAAGGTGTATGCTACCACTACCTGGCTATTTCTTTTTTTCTTGTTCTTTGTAGTACAGATGGCCCACAGTAAAATGCTCAGTGAATCATGTTTTCATTCATTCATTTATCCACTTACTTAATAATTAACTGCACTCTAAGTGCCAGGTAAGGCCATAGGTACAGGGGAGACAGCAGTTAACAAAATAGGCCATGACTACATGCCCTCCGGGCTTCACGTTCTAGTGAATGTAGAAAGACAGCCAACAATCTGTGAAGTGATCGCTAATGCAAAGAAGGGGCTAGGGAAGGGAGGAGGAGAGGGAGTAGATGTTTCACACTAGCAGCTCCGTGACGGACTCAGTGATAAAGCGACCCTTGACTAGAGCTCTGTCAGGCCGACCATATGCCTGGCGAAGGAGGAGCATGTTAGTGGCAAGGGGACAGGTGCAGAGGCCAAACTAAGGAACACGTACATTTTCAGAGGACACCAGAGGAGACAGGAAATGGAGAGAAGGTAGATTGAAGCTGCATGATCTAGTCAGGGCTCAGAAGAACAATGTGCTTGCTTTGACTATGATAAAAATTATAGGAATGATTATAGTCATAGAATACATATAGTCATTCCTTTTTTTCCTTCTTGAAACCTCAAACAATAGTGTCTCAGGATAGGAATGACATGATTTTTTACTCTATTCTTTGAGTCATGTCAGTGCTATTGGCTTATTACAGTAGCTCCCAAACTACTGGAGTAAATTCTTCCC